AAAGCGCGCGCCTGTTTCGAGGTTCGGGTGTCCACAGAAAAGTGCGGAAGCTTACATCATAGTGGATAACAATGAATGCAAGATAAAAAGTATTTCTATAGTAATAACATCAACCATTTTCTGATAACTGACAATTTGTAGATTTAAAGTAACTTTTCACTTAATAACTATTTTGTAGTAGTTTCATCTGAGAGAAAAGCATCCACTTTGAAGGGAAGCTTGTTAAGACACAGGATGCTAGAAATGAGACCAACAGGATGTTCTGAGATTAGATGAGACATTCTTTCCTGCAGGGAAGCTTAAGCTCAGGAGATAAAGAATTCAAGGACTTCAGGAAGTCCCTAAAACTTACCAAAAGCACCAGGTCATGCCCTCTAAGTATAGGTAAGCTGTAAAGACTGCTGAGAGACACTTTCGAATAAGTTAAGCTTTAGAAAAGGCTAAGGTGAGCACGCTGCCTGGAAGTAGAGGAGATATCTGAGCTCTCTTGAAGAGGCTCGGAGCACCTGAGCTTCAAAAACAGATGGTACCCAACTCAAATTGTGTGATGTGGTTGTCTACCCTCCATAGTCTGTCACCCATGCTGGAGTGGGATTTTGGTGATACAACTGTGATTAAGTTATTTGTGCTTCTGTAAGAAACCCCTTGTCTATCTCCCTGTTAAGTAACCCAAATAAAACACACTTGTCTAAACACACACACACATACACACACAAACACACACATGTGCGCGCATCTTTAAGAAGCATTCTCTGCAACATCTTAACTAAAACTTTACAAAAATAACAGTCTAGAAAATGGGGTGTTAATATAATTAATGAGACCTTTGTTGTTCCTGAAAATAGGCAAAGGTCGGATGGCAGAGCACCTTATCGGTAATTTCTGAAGAACAAGGTCTTTGAGAAAACGCTAGTCTGCAGAGCACCTTGGAATGTCCTAGCATTGGGTATGAGAAGCCAGAAAAAAGTCAAAAGATCCTGCTAGACCTGGATGTTGAATTGTTTTCTCCACCCACACCATCAGATGGTGCCTATGGCATTAAGTCAGAATGGCACTTAGCTGCAGACTGGTGTCCCTGACATTTTTTGCCTGAAGTCAGTCTCTCTCTTCTCCCTCTCCCTCCCTTTCCTTTCTCCCTCTGCTCCCCCTTCTTTTCTATTCATCCCCTTCCTCCTCCTAATTCCCCCTACCTCCTTTATTACCCCCTCCAAACACCCCATTGCTCAAGCAGTACCATTGGGTCATCTTAATGGTAGATAGATTGCTTGCAGCTCCTTGACTGCTACTGACTATAAAAACAAAACAAATGATGATTGTTTATGTCTTTATAATTCTAGAAGGCAGAGTAAAGGGACAGGAACAGAAACTGACAGAAATTGGGTCTAGTGTTAGCCATAGCTATAAAGTTCATATTCAAGTGGGAAGTCAATAAATTGCTTATGGTCTGGACAATTACACATAGCAAAAACTAAACTCAAGTACATTTTGAGATATGAACAATCTTGTCTCACATAAACAAAGTCTGAAAATGTAAAACATTGTAAGAATTGCCCTTGTTTTTTTCTTCTTCCTACAGCATTCCCTGTTAAATTGTGGTTCCTCTCACTAAATAGGTGGAATCTGTTTTGTTTGTTTGTTTGTCTGTTTACTCTAGGAGAGTCTTGCGGCTTGCTTTCATCAACAGAATGAGTCAGAGGTATTGTTGTTCCAAGTGCAAGCTCATTTTTAGGGATCCTCAGTTTCAGTCTGTAATGACTCTTTCATTGCCCTGAAAAGGATGTGCCCAGCTTGTGCACAAGAGGACAGAAGGCACACCGACCGTAGCTGACTTATACTACTTACCTCACTAGAGCACAGCCTAGGTAAGCCAACTCCCACTTGAGCCCCAACAGGACAAGGGATCCCAACAACAGATCAACTGAATCCCACGCAAGTGACAAAAAATATCTATTTTTGCATTCAGAAGTCCTTTATGGACACTTTAATTCCAGCATTGCTGTGGCAATAGAAAACTAGCACAAAAAAAAGCAATATGGAAAAATATGAAAACTTAGAGGTGTTTGAGAGCCCAGTTTTCTCCTCACTTTGTGGCTCCCATCTTAGGGTATAGTATGGCATGCTAGCCATCACTTACAAATCCCCTCATAATAAAAATTAAAGAAATATTAATAGTCATAAGCCAAAACCAAGAATTTTCCTTATGAACTTTTAATGCTCTATGAAATTCTTTTTACCAAAGGACAAAGGACATTTTTAATATTCTCAGGAGAGTGTTCCAACTGTCTGAGTAATTCAGCCAGAATTGACAAGTACAAAAAAAAGCACTCATTTTTTTTCCTCTTTAATAGTCTCCAAGGACAATGACCAGTTCCACCTAGACTGAGAGGCTAGCTTTTAAAAGTCGAAGGGAATGTGGTAAAAGAGCCAGATGAAGGAAAGGGGTGGCCTCTGTACACATGTGTGGGCCATCTCTCCACTGCATGCACACACACACACATGCACGCACGCACACACACACACACACACACACACACACACACACGCACACACATAGTTGAAATTCTTTTCCTACCAGCACCACCTGACCTTCTAGAACCTGCTCACCTTGCTTCCCAGAGCCCATCTTCCCAGGCCCTGCAAGAAATGACTGTCTGTACTGACACAGGGTAGACACCTGAACTCAGTAAAATCACCCAGATCTCCCTTCCTGAAATTTTCTAATTGAGATACAACAACTCTACACACTAAAACTGGGGACCTGAAAGAATTACTGCCTGACCATTTGCTACAGTGTTTCTACCTATCCAGCTGCTAGAGGTCAGATTTCAGAGAGGAGGGCAAATGAAATAGACCAGGAGAGATAAACAGAGAGACTGTCTCTGTTTCTAGAGACTTTCCTACTCTCCTCTCTCAGAGCCAGAGCAGACCTCCCCTCACCTCCTTTATCATGAAATCCCTCCTCAGCCCGTGTATGTGAAACACTTACTCCTTGGTGCTCCCAAATAGATTTTTTAAACTCTACTCTATAATCACTGGAATTCTCCTTCTTACCCATTTTTCCACTCCTAGTACCTAGCAAATGACTTACCTAAGGCTAAAAACAAGTGAGAAAATGTAAATTAACACAGTAAACATTGTATGTGGGTCCAGGAAGGACTACGTGCATTTGGAGTATAGCTCACCAAAGCAAAGTTGTAGCTCTCAGTGTTGACAGGGTTAGAAATTATCTAGGAAAATAACTCATGTCTTCAAAATGAAAGTAAGAAGTGATTACTAAGGGCTTCCTTCCCTCTCCATCCTTCATGAGTCCCTAAGGAAAGGCAACCAGATCAGGTTACCAAGGCTCTCCTTCTGATCTTCTACATGTGCAACTGCATGGGTGGCATTGGCAGTGAGACGCACAGAAGCAAAAAGAGAAACAACAGTCTCAATCACACACTCAAGCTCAGTAAGGGCAGGTCACTATGGAGAGGTGTCCTCATCACCAGCTGCACTCCGAGGGCTCACAGTGAAAGGTACCCGGGCCTGCAAGGTGAGTCAGCAGGTAAAGGTACTTGCTGTGAAGCCCAATGACCTGAGTTCGATCCCTGGGATTCACAACATGGAAGGAGAGAATGAGCTCCTGCAGGTTCTCTGACTCAGACACGCATCTCCTGGCATGGGTGGACATGCTTGTGTGTGCGCGCACACACCATACACACACATAGTAAGTAAATATAACAAAAGATTATTTGTAAGAACGAAGAACCAAAATATAGGGCCGATGTCAAAACTTTCTGTACTTCATTGACAGATAAAGAAGTCAGCAAACATAAAAGCAAAGTCATTGCCTCACTTCCCCATCAGAAGACCTGGCCTGAAATGGAATGCACAGCAATCATTCCAGGGTCATTTATTCAGACTTGATGACTTTTGTTGGTGTATGCCATGAAAGAAGAGAAACGAACCTTTAGGGCTTAGTGTTATATAGAAAAGGACTCCCTCATAAACAGCTACAAGCTAGCTTTACCATTAATAATTGCATATGTAGTCAAAGTCCAAAGCAATTTGACTCCAGTTAACTGAACAAAACCAGTTTCCTAACTTTCATTCCAGCACTACTTTTATTTAAATAGCATGCAGCTATCATGATGACAATTGAATTACAAGAATAATTTTATGTTTCTTAGCTGTCTTCTAGTGGATGTTTAAAGGTAACTGTAATAATCAGCTCTTCCCGTGGCTACAGTGGGGATATAAATGAAATCAATAATTTATGCCATTCTCTCCTCCACTCAAAGGATTCTCTGAGGCATTAGAAAAAAATGACACAAAACGTAGAGTTGCACTGATGTCAAAATGTCAATTATTATTCCCTGGACTGT